CAGCTTGTACAAACTCTTGGAGCGTTGGACTAAACACTCTGAAATGTAGTGTAATCAACCAGTTACCAGCTTCCTCATCGGTCGTTGATCAGCCTTCGACCTGAGCCGTACCCTTGGATCCGCCCACTCGCACAGAAGTCAAACGTGAGAGCAGACTGCTAAGACTGAATAAATCCGCAGGAGCAAGTACACTTCCTCCAGCTCTCATAAAAGTCGGGGACCTAGATTTTGTTGATGCTTTACACAACTTGCTAGTGAATTCCTTTGATCAGGAGACTTTCACCAGTTCCAAAGGGCGCTCACTTTCGAAATACGGTAATCATAGGGGATTTCTGTTTGAAATCAATTGACTCTAAGCTGTTTGCGTGTGTTGCTCTCCATAGACTGACTGGCATTCGTGCTGAAGTGTTCGTCCCTCGCCTGAATGGACGTTTGATTCCAAATCAAAACCCGAAGTCGCTGACCCTCTACAGGACAGAGAGACGACTGGATCGGATGAGCATACCAACAGGTATGTATTAGCGAATCACACTGTTCATTCTAAAAGTGAAATGGAAAGTTCGTGAATGGTATCTAAAACGCACGTGGAAAGCTCTGGAAAGGTCAACTTACAGCAAATCAAGGAACGCCGCCCTCGCGTTAATTGGCCGTTTCTCCCGGTTGGTTCTCTGTTCGTCCCACTCAAGGTGGGTGAGTTTGGATCGCTTGCCACGGCGATGGGGTCCTGGCTTGTTCGCATCACGTATTCTTTCCTAACGCATGGAAGCCATATACAAGAGGAAAAGGCTGGGTTTCGTCGAAAGCGAAGCCGTGTTGACCAAATCTGTACATTACGTCAGTTGGTTTAGTAACGCTGTATTTATTGGTAGTCCACTGTAGTCGTGTTCCTTGACATTAGTCACCTGGGATTCGGGGAATCGATGTGCCCTTTTGGTCTGTCTACTCAGGAAAGATGTAGCTGATGAATATGTAAATGTCACGAGAGGGCTGCACGCGCTTATGGTCGACTGTCTCCGCAGTTCAGTTTTTCCAGCGGTGTGAGACAAGGTCGCCTGTTGTCACCTTTTTTATTTTCGTGGAAACCGCGTTCATTGGGTACTACTTGGAAAGCGTCGCGCTGCTCCCAGGTGATCGACTTCTTGACTTAATATATGCCGACGACAATCTTCTACTCTGTGACAGCTCGTGAACTTACTAGGCAGCAATGGACAGATTAGCACGCTGTCAGTCATTTGGAGTAGCCTCGAAATGCAAAACCCTTCCCCGAGATTGGCAGGGACCCACTCTTACACCGACGCATAGTAATGCTTGGGACAGAAGATGATGCGCTTAGCGGCCAATCAACGGTACAGGCAGGATTTCTTGTGAGGGAGGTCGACACATTATGCAGCCAATTAGAAACACAGACTGCGCTGCGACTCGATACGCTTAGCTGCCAGTCACTAGCACAGGCCGTCTGCGTGACGAGCAAACAAACGGAGGATGCAGCACTTTGAATGGCAGTTACTACACACGACAACCAATCAGAGGCACAGACTGTCCACGGGCGAAGAACCGATGTTCGGGCGGACGAAGGAGCATGTCAGAGACAAAGCCAATCAGCATCGCAGGGAGTCAGAATGAGAGTGCTAGTATCAAGTCCATAGAGGGCAAACTGCCTGCCGAGGGACATAGGACAACTGATACACGAACACCGGGAGACGGCCCGCAAAGCCAATCAACATCGCCGTCGTGAACGGGTTGCGGTTGGATGAACGACCCAGAACCAATGAATGCAAAAGCATAGTCAGTGTGGTAGCCAGTGCGACCCGACGCAGAAAGTAGGAATGTGTAGTATCAACTAAGTGTGGTTGAGTAATATTTTCGTGTCGCTACACGGTCTTCGTACTGCTCAGCAGAGCGCAGCTCATTTTACAATGATCAGTTAAAAGTCGCTCAGAAAGTCAAGTATCTAAGCTGTTTTATTAGCGCCTGTGGAATAGAAAATGTGGTCACGAACCGTACAGAAAAAGCTCAAGACGCTCTTGCCAATCTCCGCCACCTGTGATGCCGGTGCGACATTACTCTCACCCTGAAGGGCAGAGTTTAAAATGCAACCATGCGTCCAACCCTACTGTACGGCTGCAAAACCAAGCTTATGAAATCAACAGATGTAAAGAGTCTAGTTACCTTCGATCATTGCTGCCGTCGCAACTTAGCTCAGGTCAGGTGTGACCACCACGTGAGCAGTAAGCATGTCCAACGTCGTATATTTGGTCCAGGAAGAGTCTTTGAATCTCTCCGCACAGTTATATCACGCACCAGGCTCCGAGGGCTGGGTAATGTGTCACCTATGTCAGCCTACCGACTCCCGTCACGTGTGTTGCTTGCACGATCGGGGTCTGGACGGAAAACAAAATGGATGAAGACCCTCACTTCGAAGTTGGTGTTGATTGGTGTCTCCCGACTGCCGAGTTGGGGTCCCAAGTATGATGAACGCGTTTGGGATACTGGTTAACATGGTGAAGAACCGACCCCAATGGCGTTTGTGGTGTGAATTTCTTTATCTCTCTTCCCTTCGCTTTGCTTCACCCTTTAACCGCAATCTTACATTCGATGCATAATATGATAGCAAACACTGCCCTGGTTTTCGACATTATTTTGTATGCTGTAATGTTTAGTGTCGTGTGACACCCTAGGAGAATCAGAAACGTAGTTTGGGCTGCAATCGGAATCTGCTTCTATCAGAGAGCATCATACTCTTTATCAGGCAACCTATGTGATTGCCAGTTGATCTTCCTTGATAGGGTTGCCTCTCGCGGAAACTTAGCATATTCATCAGGGGTATCCAAACATTTTGCAAGGAGGGCCACATTTTGTGAGCTAAAATGATGCTGGGCCATATTCAGTCTGCCAGTAAGATACTAACAAATAGTACACATGTAGGAAAAATATCCAAGCTTGAATTTATTATTTCATGATGAGGCCGCGCGCCAGTTGAAATGTTAGCGCGGGCATGACTTTGCACACCCCTGATATTCATCAATTGACCGGATTGATCGCGCGGGATTACAAGAAAATTCCGCTCACACATGTAAGCGTTACTGCTCAGTTGGCGATGAACAGCCGATCACAAACGGTCTCTTGCCTGTTCGTTCCCAATGCGTTGGTAAACACCAGTAGGTACCATTACAATGCCCATATCACATTTGGCATCTGGCTTTTTCATATATCTTAGCTGTTTTATTGCGACACAATAGGTGTGGGGTTTCTCCCCATCAGGTAACGTGTAATGTTGATGATGGACTCCCATGATTGTCAGTCTCCGTTGGTAAGCAAGCTAGCACAGGCTGTCTACCTTATTAATCACCCTTCACAGTGTAATCTCTAGTGCGACAGATCATACTTTTAGAGTAGTAGGGGGAGGTGAATGGTATAGGTAGAATTTCGTCACATCTAGACTCATTCAGACAGCCGCCACACGTCCGGAAAAGCACTGTATGCACGTTTCACATCTAGTAACTTATACACGATGGTTGTTGCCGTCCCCCGTAGCTCAGTGGTCTCAACCACGGGCTAGCAACAGTCGAGTTGCGAGTTCGAGCCCTACCAGGGGTCCGATGGAATGCGCACTGCTGATGATTCCCGAAAGGATGAAACGTGCATACAGTGCTTTTCCGGACGTGTGGCGGCTGTCTGAACGAGTCTATCTGTGACGAAATTCTACTTCTACCAGATCATATTTTTACCAGGACTGCCAGGTGCGAATGGCGTATTTCGAATAGTGCCTAATATAAGTGTGGACCATCCGCGAGAATGTGTAATGGCTAAATCTCCCAACTGCTTTTCACATCAACAGTGAAACTATATCGATATTTTGTACTGCCAGTTTACCCTCATACACTCGTAATAGCCCTACCTATTGGAGTGAGAGGACGGCAGAAGCAAGGAGTGATATAAAGCCTAAATATTCTCCACAAACATCATTACGGGTTGAGGAGCTTACAACTGGTTAACAGCGCACCATCACCGGTTTCCGGCATTGACAAAACGGCCTCATTACGATCTTCACTGCTCCGCATCGAAACCAGCCCTAATTCACAGGCGGTTTGATATCCAAAAAGTCGTTAACGGACAACTTGTCTAAGCGGAACCAGCAAATGCACCTCTCTTGCCGGTTAAGCATGATGACCTTTGTTGTCTCGAGCCACGCCCAGAGTGGGTCACGTGGGCTCCAGGTTAAAAGGAGAGACGGACCATTAGCACCAAATTTAGAGGACCGTCACCTCTTACCCAATCGGGTGGGGGGGGGGTATATCCAGGTACAAATGCAGACACAGCCAAATGCATCGGTCTGTGATTGTTGCAGACGTGTCCGCGGATACTTGCATGCCGTTATGACAATGACAGGATGATCTAGGAGCAGGCAGTTGAACGCCGGCGTTAGAATAGGGAAGTTTCGTTTCTCATACACACCGTAGCATGGGTTTAGGGTGTCCTGTGCACCTCATTGATCAGTCTGTATTATATTTGGAATTCAGTACGCCGTTGCCGAGGTCTAACTGCGTCACCGGGTAAAAGCGATCCGCCACATAATCCTCAGTCGTATTAGTCTATCTTTTGCGTCTGATTGTGAATTCATCCGTTTTTATGTGAGGCACTTTCATTTATGTCGACTGTTTAGTGATACCTGCTCGCGGAGCCAATTCTGAATTTAGTATGGTTGCAGTCCTAAATTTGTTTCTTGGATTCCACTTGTTATATTAGTCGCTTGGCTAACTGTCAATGCTGCTCCGAAATGGATCAGCTTCCTCCCTTATTATCTGGTCCATGATCTGCAATTGTTTTTGTTTGCTCGACCATAGTGTTGCCACCGGTTTCAGAGCAGTTGCAACTGAATGCTTGTCCAACAACCAGTAGTGTGTTCGTACTGTGTTGAACAATTTATTATCCTTTACTTCATTCATTTCATAAACCATAATTGCCACAAATTTGCTACAGAACCCTTTCATATCTTTCAGGTGTCTTTGTCATGGTCACGGAAATGAATGTCGCCCTACAACTGGACCCGGGCAGCGTGATCGGTTGGTCTGTGTCTGCGCACCCAGCCACCACACCACAGGAGACAACTGTGAGCAGTGTTCACCAGATCACAGAGATGCACCATGGCAACCTGCAACCCCCGAAAACCCTAATCCCTGTAAACGTAAGTTGAGCACACAAATCTCTCCATTGGCTGACTGTAGTTGCTCGAAGTTACCACTAACAACACCAGTACCGCAGACCCGTAAACTATAAACGACATTTCGGTGTATTTCACTCCCCAGAACGCTCGGTTTGTTCGGTTTAAGTAGTTTTCTGTTGTCTTGGTTGGCGGCATCCAGCCTGTCACTGCGGCCTCCACGGGGACAGCCACAGGACGTCAACGCCTACACAGGAACCATGGGTGGCTTGCGCTGCACCACTCACGGCGCCATCCCCACACCCCATATCCAGTGTAAACCCGAAGGAATAAGACCGGGAGGCATGTGAACGGGATCCACGTTTCATCAACGGAGCCGGCCCACACTCCAACATGCACAGCAGCAGCATTCCTGTCTAGCTATGTAGGGAATCATGCGTAATTGACATACACAAGGCGGTGCTTGGGCCGTAGTCGGCTACACACTGGATGGAACCACATGTTGAGCCTAGCATCGCCAGGAGGACCGTGCACCCCGTCCCTCCTCCCCCCAGCAACGATTCACACTCTCCTCGAGCCAGTAATCGAGGTGGAGGATGTTAGACAGGTAAGCACCTTGTCAACACACACATCAAGCGCAGCCACACCGGGGATATCAAACAACCAACATGGAATTTGAGGGAAAGCAAGCGCCAAACTGACAAAGATGCAGCAATAGCCCAACGCTGAACCAATTAAATAAAGTGGAATAACTTTTCTCCAGCTTAAAAAGATCCGGTTTAACTGTAAGTCGGTTTAGCCCAACTGCGTTGTAGAAGTATCATGTATGCAACATCAACCTTAGCATGAGGTACCGCCAGTTGTGTCTAACATTCCCACAAATAGCACACTGCACAGCATTCCGTGTTAGTTTTCTCTTAGCCTCCTCCTTTTTATGTCATCAGATGTCAGTCCAGTGACGTGCATGTTTGCCTGATTAACGAACATTCCCACCCATTTCAGCTTGTAAATGCAACAATAACGCCCGTTTGTGTGAGTTCGATTCGGAGGCTTATGCCAGAACAGGATCCGGTAGTAGATGCATTGGTTGTGGGAATAACACTGAAGGCATCAACTGTGAACGCTGCAAAACTGGATATTTTCCTGACCCCATACAACCGACGGTTTGCAGGCCATGTGCATGCGATCCTGTGGGCACCGTGACTGGTTACAGCGACTGTTCTAGTACAGGCCAGTGCGTGTGCAAACCGGGCGTCGGTGGTATCAGATGTGACCGCTGTCTAGATGACTACCATGGGTTTGGTGCCGGTGGATGCCAGTAAGTACGACATATTCTTCGCGGTACCAAGTAAATAATCATCTCCTTGATCCACAAGTGTATTCTAATATATTTCAAAAGTTCACGAAATTACAAACCGTTGAAACATTAGGGTGTGAATTTGTTCACGGAATTATTTGTGGCCTCATGTTCCTTCCCCAGCTCACACACACACACACACACACACCCGCGGTGAGACCTAATCCCATTAGAACTAGCTTAGTCACTAAACTATCCATGCGTCCCGATGTCTACACGCCTGTACATGCTGACGGCTTAGATTTGAAAAAAAGTAAATTAGTTCTCCGGTGCTGGACAGTGCAGCGCGTTACTTCGCCTTCATACATTGAGGAACTTGCGATGTGGTAATGCTTGCGCAATGTGGCTCGAGAAAGCAACAACCCTGCGCCTATGCACTACCCTCCACCAAACTTCTTTGATTCCTACACATGTCTCTCTCCGTAGTACGTGTACTTCTTCGATCGGGCTGCGACCTCCCATGTTTGGATCGGATGCTTTTGTGCCGGGAAGTTGGCTGCTGATTTCAGCAACAGTGACTTGAAAACCTATTGTGCCAATTTTCATTTTGTCACACATCACCTTTCGTTGTGTGTAGCATTCAGCTTCCATATCAAGCGATACCCCATGGGCAATTTTAATCTACAGAAACAATAATCTGCTACATCGTGGCTTCGTATTCAGGCAGTCAGAACTGACCGGCCCATTATTTTCAGGATACGATTAAAGTTTATCAGAAATAGTCTATAGAAATCGCTTTTAGCTTATGTTCTATTTGTTAACATTTCTTCCCCATCTCGTGCTTCATAATTGACACTGATGAAGCTCCTGTCGAGTGTAGTTGCACCCTATACACCAGTTAACTAGTTTGTGTGGGGGCGTGTGAACGAATGAACCACTCTGTCCTGAGTTCCTTTATGACGGCGTAAAATTCGAAAGGCCGCGTACTACCACCCTACTGAAGTTCACCTCATGACCGGAAATGCCAGGGTTTTGTGGAAAATTAACGAAGCTAATTTTAACATGGGTGCTGCAGTGACGTGGCCCTCTTCACACAGGATGAGAGCATGGCTCCACAGTATAGTACATGATGACTTGTCTTAGTCAACACATATAGTATTTGATGCAACTGGTGGTGTTTCGTTTGAAGCTTCAAATCGTTTTTTGAGTTAATCATTAGTAACACCATCATTATCAACATCGTCCTCAACATTATCGGCAGTAAGTCAAAATGTTGAACTCGTTGCTCTTTTCCACATCATCACCGTGAGGAAATAGAATGAGGTGTGGCTGAACCTGCAGTATAGCTAAAGTGGTCAGAACAATTCACAACGAGCCCGTGCATTGGTAAACACCGCTGGTTCCCCTGAAACGGGTTGCTCGTGAAAACGATGCTTCGGAATCCACAAGAACGCTTCTCCGTGGCTTCCACAATTACATTTCATAGTCTGCGTTGTCTCAGTGGCAATACCGTAGCTCAGACACTGTAAAGGCAGCTCAGTTAAGAGGCAACAACAAACACTTCACTGCAGCTGTCTAACGACCACAGCACGTGTAACAAGGCACCGGGGGCATCACTGTTATTCCGTCTGTGTTCACTTGCTACCAACTGCCGACAGATAAGAAGGGTAATCAGCAAAGCTGACACACTGAAAACATGCTAAATTTTGGGACGTAATGTGTAGCGGAACAACCTTCAAACGCACGCTGATCATGATCATTGTTTCATTATAAAAAGCTTCTGATTTACCTTTAGTCTTTCTGTAGCTTCAACCAAGCTTCATATTGTTTGGGAATCCACATGCGTGGACTGTCATTTGAGACTGCGCTTTTAATCTTTGATGCCGTTTGCAGACCATGCAATTGCAGTCTTGTCGGCGGATACGAGAATCGTGCTCTGTGTGATTCCCAAACAGGTCAGTGTGTCTGCAAACAAAACGTAGCCGGTCGACAATGCGACAAGTGAGTTCGGATCGCAGTTTTGTGATGCCTTCAGTGGTTTATTTGTTCAATTTTTCACGTTTTGCATGAGTGTACGGCCATCCCTGGAAACTTTCATCAAGTTCAACAAGCCGGGGTGAACTTTGCGCTTACGTAAATCCAACAGTATTACGCTGCTTGACCTATACATTGAAAACCCCAGCTCGATACAGCTTTTTGCCTCGTAAGTAGTTAACACCGGTGCGATGTTGGTTGAAAAGCACTTGACATCTGTCCCTCCAATTCTGGTACAGAATGCCTTCGGAGATGATTGCTTGGCGACATCGCAGTCTCACGCTCACATCTCAGTCTGCCATCTTATGCATGTCCCTATAGATGCCCCGAGTTCCTCATCCAATCAGTTTGCCCCTAGCTATCTACCGAAAACAAATACAATTTGATTGGTGCGTATTTCAAACTGATGTACAGTACAGTGTAATGTTGGCAGCAAGCAGCACTGGAGCTCTTCAATGCAAAGCGGATTCTGTACGGACTACAGTTCATTCATTGCGGCGAGGCTGGAACTGACTTTGGTTGTAACAGTTTGTGTCCATTCTTGATCCACTGAGCTACAATGGCTGATTATTCTTGAGTGTCCCCACCGGCGTTTGAACCGGATTGACAATGGCTGGAATTCAGACCAAGCTGACCAAAATATACTCCACGAAAGGTATTTTCCTATTAAACTCTTAAACTCAGTCACAGTTGACACTTTACCTGTCCGTAGAGTACGAGCCGGCTGTTATGCGGGTACTTCTGTGTTAACCATCGTGGAACACTGCGCTTTCACATGTACTTTGAGCCCTCAAGCTGAAGAGTTCTACTGCTGACATCGTTTGATGTGAAACCAGTGCGCACTATCCCCATGGTTTTTACAACACCATTCCTCAGTCAAGTTATTCTTGAATACAGCTGACCCTTACCGATTTCAAAAACCCTTAACTGTCTTAAAGTATGACGGACGATAGGTACAAAGGCGCACACGACTTCTGCTCGTCACTAGGTTGTCAGCTACTTATACAACTAACTGTGCACGAATAATGTTACAATTGTGGTTCATGGCTGCTATAGCCATCAAAGCAAAGACTACACCGCACCGGACAGTCTATTTATCAAACATCCAGTCACGACAAGCAAGAGAGCCGACAATACAGAGCAAGGAATAGGGTGTCAGGAGGCTGCCTATCATGTGAGGCAGCCTCACACACATGGACCATAGAGTTTTAGGTGAGATTGAGCTTCATGCTTAGAGCCGCGCCAAGGCACTGTAGTGTTAAGCACCGGATCACCGGGTCTAATATCTCCCTCTTAGAAAACATTCTGTTCTCCTGACTCGTCGGAACCAATTGTGGGGTTCACCCGTAGACATCAGATCAGTTGAGTTGTCCGCGGGGATTTTCGAATGAGTCCATGGCAGAGCTCTGTATGCGCTTCCGTCGGCTCACTGGGCTCCACAGATTTGGTGGTTCAAACGCATCCAACAGTGCATCTAACGGCATCTAGGAAGTGGGAGAGATTATGTGTTTGATGCATCGTTTGCGTACCTGATTAGTGTGCTGGACGGAAAATAACGGTTCGATGGACACCTCGTACACCACGATGCCTTTCCTTTTTCGTACCAGTACGAGTTGTCAGGCTTGGTGGTTTGGTCTTGTATCCAACGCTTATACCGGCACCTCTGGAAGAAAACCTATACGCACACCTCATACGAGTTGTCATTGCGAAAGCTTCGGGCATATTGTATCCATTGGTATTCATATTTGTCATCCGAACATGCCTTCCACCGGGGATCTGCAGCCTGATGCAGCTGGTTAGGAAAAGCTCGATAGCTTAATATGAATAGCTGTATGGTCTCCTCTGTCGGTCCTTCCTTCGTAGTTTTAGTAGTGAACGCTTGAAAGTATCCACGAATTGCTCTGCTTGCCCGTCGGACTGGGGATGCTCTGGAGGCGACCGGTAGTGCTAGATGCTATTACGCTGACAGAAAGCACCCGATTCATCGGAGATACATTGTATAACATTATCAGTAACCAAAGTGTTCGGTGAACAGAACTGTGAACATGACTGCTGTAATTTTCGTACTGTGGCCACTGTCGTGATAATATTCATCAAGCACATATCCAGCCACCTGGTGTCCGCATCCAACACAATTAAGAAACGCTTGCCTTGTACTGAGCCGAGGAAATCAACATGAATCCTCTTCCAAGCTTTGGAAGCTAGCATCCAGTTTTGGATGCTTTTACTTAGAAGTTTCACTGCTGACGCACAATTGCTACATGAGACGATACACTCCTAGATGGCACTGTCAATGAAAGGCCAATATGCGTAGCTCCTGGCTGGTGGTTTCATCCGCGCTATTGCGCGGTGATGTAGGTGCGAATATCTTATAAACTTGTCTGCGGCGACTTCGGAAGTATGACACGTGCTCTGGTGCCAAAAAGACACGTCGACAATAAAATTGGCGGAGGCGTGTGTCGGTGATCCAATTTGATCACTTTCTGTTCCAAAAGCGAATACGGATTTGCGAAGTAGTTATAAGTTGGTGTGCTCCTGAATGGCCACAGAGGTCATCGGAGGGGCTCTGACTGCATTACACGGAAGCTGCTTTAAATCCGATGCAACCGCAACTGATGCGATCATCTCGTCTTCTTTCATGCTCGGCTGTTTTGCGATAAGTCCGAAGAGCGCATCGGCTTAGGTAAATTCTGACGTTCGCAAGTAAACTACGGTAAATTGTTCCCGCGCAACCATGGCACCCAAAGATGGGAACGATTAGTCGTGTATAAGTCAACTGAAGTCAAGAAATTGCTTTATGCACCCTGCGGGGGTGAACATTCAGCTAGCACACACACAATCTCGACAAGGTACCAAAAAAGCAAATCAGTGGCAAAGCAATGCGATAAAGAACGGGCGGATAAGGGCAAAAAACAATCAAGTTGAAAGTCGACTGGTTAAATCAAGGACGACAGAGTTGCGGTCTCGCAAAAGACGCGAGAGGTAAGGGATGACTGACGGGCGGTAAGCTTATGTGCTGGCATAGATTAGCTTGTACTTCTGTCTAGTAGATGAAGTGCTAAACATTCAGATAAGGCAGTATGTAGGGGATAACTTGTACGGGTGTTTTGTTAATCTGGTCCGGAGCTAGGAGCGGCTGCAAACAGGTGCTGACGTACAACCGGTACGCTGAATTGCTAACTATCCAATGGCGCAAATTGCTTTGCCGGCAGGAGTGAGATGGGACACAGACGCCAACTCTGTGCCTAAGATCGCAGAGCACACCTGGCCGTTCGGCTGTGAGAAGTGGACGTTAACCAGACATTACAGCCGCAATGAATGAGTAATGCCTTGACCGCATGGCAAGACCTAGGGAACGCACGCCGTTCAGCTGTGTGAGAACTTGACGTGAGCCAGACACCACCTAGCCACACTGAACGCGTCATGCTTCGGGCGATCGGTAGTCGGCCTTCATGAAAGTTAAAAGCCAACAAAAGAGTTTCCTGCGAAGTGTGTCGCTGTGCTAGCAACTGAGAAAAGCAGCCTAGCCGTATGTGATGACCGGTCCATGGGCGTCATATTGCTATCGCCACAAAAGCTGTTATCGTCTCATGACTGGCTTCCAACAAACCCGTATGCTTTACTTAGGCTGCTTTCACTGCTAAAGGGAATCATACTGTCAGGAGCACATTGTAAGGTTACAGCGTTGTTCGCTTTACCGTTTCGATCGCGTGTGTGTTACAGCTGAAAATTCACCCTTCATGGGTGCATAAAAACGATTTCTTGACTTGACGTGACAATGCTCTTAGATTTCAGTCTGCCCCGACGCACTGGTAGTACCATTAGACAGCATACCACTTTAGGCATGAATACAACCATTGCCCTCACAGTCAGACAATTGCTAGTTGTACAATTTGGTCAGGCCTTACAGGCCAGCTTCTTACAAGGGCTGATGTATGTAGAAATAACTGTGTTGGTAAAAGTAGATATCGGATCACCGCTACGTCGGTGTAAGTGTTTTAATGATCTGACAATTAACTTCAAATGTTTACCCAAAAGACCAGGATAGATCACAGAGGAACACTACGTCTAATGGGAAGAACACATGCATTTACAAGGCGAACGATCAACTCACAAGGAACGCAGGAGGCTCTGAGCCGAGACTCATAGAATGACCGCTTTCTGAGTTTTCTGAAACTTTTATTTACTTGAAGCTTCCAAGGTAAATCATAACTCAACGTCACACCCAGATATTTTAATGATGTGGAAGACTGTAATCCGTCGCCAACAATATGTAACTTGTTACACAGTGTAAGGAGCTCCTCGTGCCTGGCTCCTTTGTGAAAGGAAAAAAGCATGTCATGGCACTTTGAAGGATTAAGAGACAGATGACGGGATTTGGACAAGCTATTAAGATCGTTCGGAAGTGCTTGTAGTCTGAATGGACAATCGGCGCTTTGGTGCTTGATGCCCAACACGAAATCGTCCGCATATTTTACCAGACTCGCTTCAGTTGGAGCTGGCATAGCATATACGGGTATGCTCTGGTTTGAATCGAAAATGGTCAATGATAGCTTTTGATCAGTTTCCAGTACCAGTTCTCTATCCTACAACATGCCGGAGTTGCACAATTAGGCTGATTATTGATTGCAATGTTTAATTACAAAGGCCAACTCGATAAATCACGCTGTCAGTGAAGGTGGCTGCTTACTTACAAGCGTAAACCGCTTTCACGAACAACGATTACGTTGAAAATCCCCAACTTCACCAGGGGAGGTTGAGAAAATGATGTCTAGCTTGGTAAACACTTGTCATTACTATTTAGGTGCCAGACCAGTAGTGGTGTTCTTACAAGTGAACAAATGCAGCCATTTAGGGCTATGGCTGAATAAAGAGTTCCTCTCTAAACCAGATAAAGCTTTTGGAATAGTTCCGATTGATAGAGCTGCTTGCGTCTGTATAATACAACATATTCTTACTAATGAACG